ATGTCAAACAATAGAATCTTTTTCACTACAAGACAATTACAAAATGACTATGAGGAAACAATTAATATTTATTTCTATTTTTGTACAAAAGAAAATTTATTTAATATGCAATGCCATACAGTTAAAATACTAGGGATGCAGTATTTTATGGAAAACATCTGTGAATAGACCAACAAATATGAAAGAGCAAAACCAACAAATAAGAAAAGGGCAAAAAAATAGTATTCCATCTTCCTTGCAGGGTATTTTTAAATATAAAGTCTTTCTAATAAATATTTCACATGTAAAGGTTTGAAATAGGGACATTATTTCGTTACCATTAAAACCGAGGTACACAGTTCATTGATTTTTCATTTAAGATGGAGTTTTCTAGTGGATGATTTGGATAAATGTATATCAGAATGTCTATGTGACTTTTAAATAAAAGGGAACATGAACCATTGTAATTTCACAAGAATTTATACCTTAATAAATTGAGTTGAGCGAACTAATTAACAGAAATAAAAAAGTAATATTGTTGGTGCTAGTACTGATAGAGTAGAGAAGTCAAAAAACTACTTTGACTTATATTACTAGGCGGCTGATTTACAAAAAAATTAAAGTACTGCTTTTTACAGGTATGACTTATAAAATTAAGAAGACTGAAAATTTTTTGACATTTTTACACTTTTACTGATTAGTTACAGAGGTATAAAAAATACTATCCTTTTTCATCTGATGAAATAGTGAAGTCTGAAAATTACTAATTTTTTTACACCTACTACTAACAAAAGAGAGGTTTAAAAATCATTTCTTTGATTACTATAATTAATAATCATTAAATTGAACAATTTCAGCAAAATACTACCTTTTTACAGCTAAAACTTGAAAATTACTACCTTTTTAGAGTAACGACTGAAAGAGAAGCGTTATAAGTTTGTTATAAGTGAAAACTACCTCCTTTTTACAGCTATAATTGAAATTGTTTAGAAGTCTAAAAAAAATACTACATTTTTACACTTACTACTGATAGAAGAGAGCCTGAAAAATAAGAGATGTCCAAAAACTACCTTTTTTAACGAATACTGATAAAATATACACAGCATAGAAGATGACAAAACATAGACCCAGATGTAGCTATGGTCATCACTAATAAAATAGAGAAGTCTGAAATTACTTTTTTGGTTACTGTCACTGTTGATAAAATAGAAATAAAGTCTGAAAATTGCTACCTTTTACAGCTTTTACGTATAAAATTTAGAAATCTGAAAATGACTACTCCTCACCAATTAAATTCAAAAGTAAAGAAATTACTATTTTGTTACAGCTACTATTGATGTTTTTTTAAAATCTGAAACACATATTTCCTTTATAGAATACTTTTATTTATTCATCTTTTTTTTCAATTTGTAGTTTATAGACAGAGACTTTAAGGACCGATTCGCGGCGAGAAATATTCGCAATAACGAGGCCTTTGCTAACTTTGCGAAAATTTTTCGCACGCAGATAAATGTTCGTTTACAATATTTTCCCGGGGTCTTGATCCTTTGGCTTTCTTCGTGTATTTTGACACACTCCACGTGTGGCTTCTGATCGCTGTTACAATGGTGGGAAAGAGCAGTTTGATGTTTTAGCAGAAAAATGAAAAGATAGAGATAAAGCTGAAAGCGACAGCCCATAGGGATACATCGAGAGCAGAATACAGTAATATGTTATGTATTTGAAAAATGGGGAAGAAAGAATTAAATTTTATCACTAAAAATCTTTTCCATAAATAAAAGACAAAAACCTTACCATTAAAAAAACTTAAATGCAACTGTCAAAATAAAATATTGATTTCAACATATCATACATAATGTTCAATGCTATCAATAGCATCATATTATATTCGAGCAACATCGAAGAACCCTAACGTTTGCGTCGATTTATGAAAATTAAATGTAAAATCTTCGACGGTATTATTTCATTTTTTAGACAAAGAAGAAATCCTGGAAGTATTTTGCCTTACTTAACGAGGCCCGATCTAGTTGAATATTACGAAAACGGAATGATATAAAAATTCAATTTTTGGAAATATTTTTGTATGTATTATGCTTAGAAAAATCACAATGAAATTTTATTACCTTGCCTTTATTGTAGTCAAATGGGGGCACTGTCAAGATATGGACCATTTTTTTTTTATCATTTTATACACAATTACATAGTAAAACTATCCAAAAAAGCAAAGAAATTGAAAATTTATGAAAAATACACGGTGGAATGTTTTGTTTTTTACATATATCATGCAATTTTATTCTTCCTATAAAAATGAAAAGAAAATTGAAGATAGCCTTTATTGCAGTGAAAAGGGGGCATATCAAAACACAAAATTAGGACTTATTTTATTCAACTAGATATGAAATAAGTCGCCATGGCTGTACATAACATCAACAAACGATTGCAATACTGTATTAGTTTCTAAAATATAAATGATTCTTACATTTTGCAAATTTTTCTCTTTTTTTCCTTTACACTCGACGTTGTTATACATATAATGAAAAGGGGGGGGGGGGGGTAAAAAGCGACAAATGACGAATTTTACTAATATCATGTAATATATAGAAAAATTAAATATTTCGGGGGTAGCATTTAAATGATTCGTAGACTGATTTTTTTTAATCAAGCTTATCCATGCATATTTAAGTCCTCTATAAAAAAAAAAAGTGTGTGTATAAACACTTCAACGTTTACCATAGGTATGCAAGATCAGTGAAACATTATAGCGCAATTTGACGTCATTTTAATTGTGACGTTATTGTGTTCAATTGTGACGGCAGTCAAGGGTACTGTGACGTGCCTGAGTCGACGCTTCGTTAAAACGTATGCGCAGGCCAACTAGATCGGGCCTCGTTAAATATATTTTTTTAAAGAAAACCACACCTAAACCTCATTATATATTGAAAAAGATATCTCAAATGTCATGAATATATCAAAATGAAAAGGAATCCCAAGCCCATATTCTTTTAACATGTCGAACCCTGGAATATTTCTCATTTTAGAGCAATCAATATAATAGTGAACTACTTGGCCGTATCTGAACTCCATATAAAACAACATATATTTGTCCCAGTTGAAACTTGAAGATTGTGTGGAGTTTGCAAAAATATGGACTTTGTATCTGTAATAAGGAAATAAAAACAAATGAGTATTACTGTAAAACGTCAATCATTCAGAATGCCAAAAATGTTTCGACTTTAAACATACTGAATAGATAAAAAATTTTCACAAAATCTAGGAATAAGTGTTTACCAATGATTTAAATGTTTTGATCTTTTTTGTAAAGCATATATGTCGGATAGGAGCAAGTTCCATCGAGTTAACGAGGTTTGACAGCAGATGAATTTTAGGCTTTTCCATTTATTTAATATTTGTAAAACAAATGATGTGCACATTATCCAATAAAATTAAACTCTGTAGTATTCACATGTTTAATATTTATGGTTAAAAATATATATTTTTTAAACATTTTTAAAACCTCATGCTTCAAATTTGCTATGGTGGTTCACTGTTGTAAAAAATGAAATCAACATCAACAAAGTTACAGAATAAAAAAAAGTACACTAAATTTATTTCAAACCACAAAAGCACAGAAAAGTTATTTGAAAATAGTATTTTTATGAAAAGAGTTTGATAGATTCTGTCAAAAAAAATTAATTTTGAAGACGTAAATGATATAAAATATCGAACACATAATGTTTTATTTTAAAAACCAAGAGAATTGTTGATAAATTTGACTTTAAATCACAAATAATTTTTAGTCATATCAGGACCAGGACTAAAATACAATTTTCATTTTTGTCGTCTTTTTGTATCATTGATACTCTTTGTTTTCACAAAAAAGTTGACTACTGAATATTCACATTTGCAAATGTTTGCCCTTATATAAAAGTATTTGAGACTGGCGTTTTACACCTCCGTAAAACACTTTCGTCATGTTACCATGAATTTATTGTTTAATCTTAAGTGATACCCGTAGTTTCATATTAACGTCATAAGTGATGGACATGTTCAACACATTCAATTTATACCGTTGAGTTTTGAAAAAATAAATCCTTTATGGATGGAAAACTTGAGTATCCTACGATCTCTAAAATGTATAATAAGTCATAAGATTTTTTTTAGTTTTATTGGGATGTAAAACGGGTTGGCACATGAAAAAATCTTCCATAAAGCCCGATCGCGAGGTACCCGTTTTCGGGCTTTATGAAAGATTTGATCATGTGACAACCCGTTTTACATCCCAGTAAAACTAAAAAAAAAATCTTACTTTTTTCTTAAATATTTTATATCCTATTTTTCATCCTGGTCTATCATTAATAAAGTAGGTTTTGACTATACAACAGAACATTCTTCCTCCTGCTAGGTACCTAAATGTAACTAATGAGTTTTTAGGGGTCCATGTTCTTTACCCTATTTATAGATTTCTATAGTTTTAGATTATTTATTGATTGAACTTATCTTCACCTTTTTTTCTCTGTTTTTTAGATTTTTGATTAAATCAAATATATGTTAATGACTACTTTAAAGGCTTAAAAGCATCAACAAAAGCTAAATAATAGAAGAAAAATCTATTCATTAATTCAGATAGTTGTACCTTTGACCTTTAGATATCTAAATTTTAATTTTCTTGGAAGAAAAATGAAGAAAAAAATTAAAAGTTCATTAAAAATTAATTTAATGACAACTTGTTTAGAAATAAATAACACTGACTATAATATTAAACACTTTGACTATGCTTTTATAGGAACCAACCTTTCATTTTTATTTTTGAAATTGCAAAATAAAGATTCATAGTAATTAATATCAGATTTAACAAATCAATATTTCAATGAATGAAACATACGGATTATATAACAATTAGCCAATCATTTTCTAGTAGCTGATATATGTTTTAATATTTATATTTGGCGTTTGGTATACTGTATGGCAAATTCATACAGGTACACAGCAACGCAGCAGTAGCATTCCAAAAAAATTACGATATGGGCGCTCTTTGGGCTATCTATTTAATTTTTGTCTTCTTTGCCGTGTCTCAGTGTACCATTATTTCGCGAAAATATATCGCAAAACTAGATGATAAAATATCAAATGAAGAACTTTTAGGTCAACACAAATCTACATCTGTTATAGAGTGTGCAGCGCGTTGTCAAAGGGAGTGTAGTTTCTTTGGATTTAATCCCCAGATGAAGAAATGTCGTACACACAAGAAGAATTTCACCTCTGAGATCTCTGATGAGGCCGGGTGGAGATATTACTTACATGACTGTATGTATTAACTGTTATTTTTCATTTCGTTTGCCACAAATCACATTTATATGTTTAGTTTTTATCGCTGAAAATTACTAATTCTAAATAATAGTCCTGAACATTACCTTTTTTTCTTCTAATTACTTTGATTTCGATTGAAAACTGAATTTGACCTTGAAGAAATTATATATATCTTTTTTTTTTTTTCGTTTTTAAGGATGGAAAAACCTTTGAAAAAAATATTAATTGAACTTCAATTGTAAAGGACATGCGAAAAAAATTAAAGCTCACATGCTTACACAATACAAAAATAAAATTCAGTTTACGTTAAAAACATTTCATCATTCGTAACCATTAGAAAAAAGTTTTACTTGACTAAAAAATAAACAAGGATGCTCTTCTATGTAAGCTAGTAACTTTTCTTGAAGCTGAGATGGAAACCATGGACTACTAAGCATTCTCTTTCGCCTGTAGTGTTTTTTTTTCTTCAAAGAAATAGATTAAATATATATATAAAAAAAATCTATAAAGGAAAAATTATTTTAGGTAATGAGGAACTGCTAAACACAATCCATTTTGTAGTTAACAACTTAAGGTCAGCAGTGAACCTCAATTTATCCAAGTATAATGTATCCTCTTACTACCTATACATACATGTATAAATAATATGACTATTTTTTCTGCCTTAGTTGTTCCCAAGGACTGCAAAGACCTTCATGATAATGGTCACAGTAACACAGGGGTGTATGAAATTTATCCTTTTGGGATCCGCTCCCGTGCTGTCAGGGTGTATTGCGACATGGATACATTGAACGGGGGATGGACTGTATGTAGTTTATTTTACTCTTAGTGTACATTATAGAATTTGTTCCCAATGTCTGTGGTGTTTAAACAAATGCAGGATGAAAAAATTGAAAATTTTATTTTAGTTAATATACTGATCAATTAACAATTGTTAATTACAATGATCTGTATTGTTATACATGTTAACTTTTAAAGGCAATCCAAAAACGCATCAATGGGTCCCTGAGTTTTAACAGGACCTGGACGGAATATAAAAATGGTTTTGGTGACCCAATTCAGGATGTTTGGGTTGGTATGTGTTACACTGTAATCTCTTTTGCTTTCAACAGCTTCAGAATTTAACAATACGTATGTCTTTACTGTGACAGATGACAAAATGAAAGCGTATCAAAGATACATCTGATTTAAAGACAGGATGCTGTGTTCTGACGATAGCCACATACAGTGTTTAATTGGAAAAAATGAATAAAAAAGGATAAAAATCACTTATTGGCATGGTCTTAATGAAACCACAATTAACATCAATATCTACAGCAAAGGAAATAATCCGATTTTTCATTAATATATATTCATATTAAAAAGAGAATTATTGTTTTATAATAAATTTTACCTTTGAATGTAAATATGTCTAAATTCAGGAAATGACGTAATCCATCAATTAACAAAAGAAAACACCTCATCCTTGTATGTGTCCATCACTCTCCAGAATGGTACAACGCTGTATGAAATGTACGATAGATTCTCAGTCTCCGATGAAACAGGGAAATATCAACTCTTTCTCGCAGGACCTGTCACAGGATCACTCGGTAAGTGTATTTAAGATAAGATCTTAAAAGTGAGATTCACACCAAGAATAATTTTATATTCGTCTTTGCATAAAAGATCAACTGGTTAAAAAAAGACAAATATATTTTTTTCTAATATTCCGTAAACGTCTTTGATTCCACGATTTCACTTTTCCCGAATTCAGCTGAAATTGAAATTGACATTGCTAATAAGCTGGAATTTTTAAATTGTATATTTTCAACCATAGAAAATTATGTTAAATTATTTATAACTAGCATATTCAGTAATGACCTTTTGATTTTTTGGGCTTCTTTTTTAGTGATTTTCAATAATTCACAGTTTAAACAACTACTATGAAATAGGATGTGTTTAGCGCGGAACTGATGTTTATTGCTGATATTCTCATAATAGCTTGATGTTCAAAAATGCATTTGATCCAAACAAATTAAAACAATTAAATTCAAAGCATCTCAACGCAATTCATACATTTTAAAGGCACAATCTCTAAAGAAATCATTTTTTTCTTATTATTAATTTTGTTCTAATATGTCCAGTGACCTTTACCCTCCATTATTTCATAGCATACGTTAAAAGTGTAACACGCCTGGGATTTATTGTTTCACTAGAAATGACGCTTAATGAATTGCTCTTAATACTGTATTATGTGTTTTTTCATATTATCTTTCTTTATAGAAGACAGCTTGGGAGGTCGACTATCTAAGACATACTTCAGTATTCAGAAGAGAAATGTGATATAAATCAATGAACTCTGTTGTATACTTTTCTATAACTCTACAGGTGACGGTATGATGGACACGGGAAGCTCTGACAAAGATCTGTCTGGGATGTACTTTACCACCCCTGACAGGGACAATGACAGATCGAGTGGTGGTAACTGTGCTGTGTACCACGGAGGAAGCTGGTGGTATTACCACTGTTTCCTAGCCAACCTCAACGTTCCATGGTCCTCGACGTTCTGGTGGTATCCTACAGTAGTCGGTGGACAATCTGTCAGGGAGACAACCATGTTAATTAAACGTCACTAGGTAAAAATAGTATTCAATTTTAATAACCGATATTTTCATTTTGATATTTCCAAAAACATTTAAAACGGCAAAAAGGACAAATTTTGAGAAACTTTAATTTTTCTTCTTTTTTTTTACAGATGAAAGACCACCAATCAATCAGATGATTTGATATAAAGGAAACGATTTTTAACAGATCTAGATAATGTTGATCGTTTTATATAATGTTAGACATCAAGTGACTTGTCAACAAATATGTTTTCAGTGTAGGTGCGGGAACAGTTGAACTATTATTTTAAAACAATAAATTGTATTTTTTTCAACCGAATGTATCTAGTAAACGATGCAAATTATATGTATTGAAATAAATTTGAATTTAGAAATACGTCGTTCTTATTTACAAACGCTGCCACATGAAGGAGTGTGTTTGGATAATTAGGATGAAGATCGCTTTATTGTGAAACGTATGGTTTTACCTTACAAAACACCATAATACAGACCGGGGATCAAAAGATTATCTGATGCATCCCAAACGTTCAATACCAGGAAAGTGCAATGTCATAAGCGAAAATCAAAATTCAAACTTCACTTTATTGTTACTTACCTGAGGTATTCCATATATATTTTTTTTAAATAAACAAAGTGAAAAAAAACAAGACTAGGAGTTACAAAAAGTAAATAAAGGAATGGAATTGTTATTTTTTAAAGATGTAGTCTCATATCTAAAAGCAGTGTAATCGCGTGTTACTCATTTTTTTTACACACATCTGCGCAATTATGAGACAGTTTAAAATATGATTTAATACTTAAGTGTGTGTTTAGTCATGTCATTCTCTGGATGGACAATGAAATATATATATATTTTTTAATCTAGATTGAATTTTGGTACGTCTAATCCAATAAAGAGAAAAAAGATTTTTTAAAGAGCTGGTGTTAATAAAAAAAAGAAGAGTCCCAGGGGCCACATCGTTCACATGAGCAACTAGCTAAGCAAAAAAATAGTTCAGTATTGAAAAGACTAAATATAAAAATAGGTTCAAGGAAGGGGGGTGTACAAACTTACATCTATATCTTTTTATACTTTTATATTCATGATCAATCATGGCTTTGGTGTTCTTGTAAAGAATTTTAACAATTTTCCCTATATATTCCAACATAAAAGCCTAATTATCCACTGCGCCCCCCTCTACCCCGTGGGTCATGATTTGAACAATCTTGAATCTACAATACCTGAGGATGCTTCCATAAAAATATAAACAATCACAGTTTTGCTGTTGTCGAAAAGAAGAACTTTAAAGATTTTTTTCTATGTTATCCTTCTATTTTGATCACCCATAATGGCCAACCTTTGCCCTCAGGGGTCATTATTTGACCAACATAAATTTACACACCCTGAGGATGCTTCCAAGTAGCATAATAATGGCTTTGCCTTTTTTGAGAAGAAGATTTTTAAAGACTTTAAAGAATGTATTGCTTTAGATTTCTACGAGGGTTGTTCGAAAAGTTCGTGGACGATGTCAATATTTGTTATACTACTCGGTAGAAATTAAAAATAAGCACATTAAAATATATAAAAATGTTAGTTTTTTAATGTGTAAAGTTTCATTCCATTCGATTTAACAGAAATCAATTTAAAATCCACATGTTTTGTATCCGCGGAGCACACTTAACGGCAATGTAACGTTAAAACAAAGCGTCCAGAATTTCTAAAATACACTATCCATATATATTTCACAAAGTGTAATCCAATGTCCATTCATTTAATCATTCTTCTTATACTTGAAATTCATTTTTTAAGAATTGTACTCGTTATATAATTTCCTTTTTTAAGGTTTAATTTCTTTTATTACTTAAGTCTCCTTTCACAGGATACATACGCAACTCTGAATCTCCTATGCCTTTCCTTGACGTTCCATCTTTTGAAAGTTTTTGTCAAGAATTTTACAGTTAAATCGTAGCTTCTGCGTCCGATACAGATTGTCTTCGTCCGATACAGAGTGTATGTCAATTGAAATTTCCAATTGCACACCTTCAATAATAAGTGTACTACATGTATTTGTACACACACATACAATTCGCTTGTGACATATTTTCTGAGTCCTGCAACACTTTTAGAGTTTAATCAGGATTTCTTTTTAAGTAAAGCACAAAATTGCATTGTTATCTGTTGCTCCGTGACGTTCTAAAACGTCATCATTTTTGTCGTTTTCAATAAGGACTACCTATCTTCTCTATTTAATTTCTTTTCAACAACGCAAAATATTAATCCAAAATTTGGTACACGAATAAATGTAACAATTTCTAATTTAAATTTCCAGGTTGGTTTCATTTTTGCTCCATTTTACAAAGAATATGACTTCAGACATTATATAGTGTATTGTCTATAACTCACTAAATTTTGACCTTGCTCTAAGATCCGATTTTTGGCTTTTTAAAAATCTAGATAAGTTTTAGATGAAGGATATGGAGATAACGAACAGTATACAATCTCAAAGATAAATCATAATATTTTGAAAAAAATGAATTCAAATCATTTGGATATATGTTACACCGAAACTTTCTGTTTTTAAATAAAAACGCCCAAAGTTTCCAACAAAGTTTATTTTGTATTCCCGTGTAACACTTTACACACAGGACCCGACTGAGTAACTAATTGAACACACAAATTCTACGCTAAATATTAAGAACTGCCCAACCTACAGACTGCCAATCACTGCTAAATTAACCCGTTAATTGTGAATACTATGAATTCTGCATTTTCTCATGGCCAGCACTTCGGACATTCAATCCCCCTGAGACTCGGGTGATAAAAGTCAGCAATGCTGATACAAGAGCTAAATTTCCCAGCCAAATCTTAATGAGCGGTCAAGACCTTATCACATAAACAGATCACTGCAGTCTGTAGTTTAGAGCAATTACTACAAATCAACCAGATTTAGATAATATAAATCAAGCATTAATTATACAAATAATTTCACACAAAATTTTACTTTAACACCTCCCTTCCAAAGATAAAAATTTAACTGTCAATAGTTGAATTTTTTTCCAAGTTCATAATTCTGTATTTAGCAACATTAAATTTAACCAGTCACTAAATTCACTTTAGCCAGTCCAAATAAGTATTAAACAGTTAATAGCAATTAATCATCAAAAGAATAATATAAATCCAAAATGAATTTCACTCTAAATCCAAACTGAATGCACTTGAATTTTATGAATATAAAATTTTCACAATAATTGCCCATGATTCACAAACACATTTCACTTTTCAAATTCTTGATAATCCGTCTGCATTTGTGTTTTTGCTTCCTCTCTTATATCTAACTTCAAAGGTGTACGATTGTAGTGCGAGGGCCCAACGCAACAGTCTCTGATTTTTATTCTTCAAGCGATGCAACCATGTTAGTGGATTGTGATCCGTTTCTGCGTAAAACTTCCTCCCCTCTAGGTAATACGAAAACGATCCAATGGCCAAAACGATAGCTAATAATTCCTTCTCTATCGATGAATAGTTCTTTTCCCTTGGAAGTAACTTCTTACTAAGGTAAGCAACTGGGTGATCACCATCTGGCAACTGTTGGCTCAGGACAGCCCCGATTGCGTTATTACTCGCATCTGTTTGTAGTACAAACGGTAAATTGAAGTTCGGATTGACCAAAACAGGAGCTGTCATCAGGGCCTCCTTCAGTTTCTTGAATGACTGCACTTCCATCTCCGTCCATCTTAATTCTGCGGGTTGACTTTTTCTCAGTAGATCAGTCAATGGTACAGTTATGTCCGCATAATTTCCTATATACTGGCGATAGTATCCAGTTAATCCCAAGAATGATCTTAATTCCTTCTTTGTCAAGGGAAGTGGAAAATCCTCCATGGTCTTCAATTTCCTAGGGTCTGGTCTAATTGTCCCTCCACCAACTATGTGTCCTAAACAGATGATTTCTGTTGCTCCCAACTTACATTTTGACGGTCTGATGGTAAGATTGGCCTCATGAATACGCTGAAGCAGCTCTGTTACATGTTTGATATGGTCTTCCCACGTCTGACTGAAACAATTATGTCATCAAAGTACGCAACAGTATTTTGAGTTCCATCTAAAATACGATCCATAAGTCTTATGAATGATGCTGGAGACGTCTTTATACCAAACGGCATCACTGTAAACTCGAAAAGGCCAAATGGGGTGATGAAGGCGGATTTCTTGCGTGTTTCCTTTGCCAGTAGAACTTGCCAGTAGCCTTTTGTTAGATCAAATCTACTCAAATATTTTGCACTTCCAATTTTCTCAAATATTTCACTCATGCGTGGAATGGGATAAGGGTCCGTGAGAGTTATTTCATTCAATTTTCTATAATCAACACATATTCTAATTGTCCCATCAGGCTTGTTGACAAGGACAATTGGTGAGGCCCACGGACTTTTGGATGGTGTAATAAGTCCTTGTTCTAACATTTCATTCAACGACTCCTTCACTTCCTGTTTCTTAGCTTTCGGTATCCGGTAAGGTCTCTGAGTAATTGGATTCTCAGACGTTCTTCTGATTGTATGTGAGATAACATCACACTTTCCCGGCTTTGATGTGAAAATTCTTGAAAATTCCTGACAAACACCCCTTAAACTCTGTCTCTGCACTTGTGTCAGCCCATGTCCAAAGACAAGATCTGAAATGGTTTCTGTGGTGTCGTTAGGAAATTGCTGTTCAAGTCCAATTCCATTTTCTGTTGCTGCCAGTAATGTAGCCCGGTTATAAGGACGAAGTAAATTGATATGGTAAGTAACAAGTCCACGTCGTCCTCCAACATTGATTTTATAGTTAACATCATTAACCTTGTTAACCACACGAAACGGTCCTTTCCACTGAGCGGACATCTTGCCAGGTTCGGTCGGGAGTAAAACGAGTACTTCATAACCAGGACGCAAAGTCCTTTTGGATGCTGAGCGATCATACCAATCTTTGATTTTCGACTGCCTCATTTCCAAGTTGTTTAATTTGCACGAGTTGTGTCACATCAGCCAGTTTGTTTCGAATGTTGACGACATGATCTATTTCTGAAGTTTTTATTTCCTCCTCACCAGTCATAAAGCTCTTTAAAACACTAAGAGGACCACGTACTGGCCATCCGTACAACAGGTCAAATGGTGAAAAGCCAGTCTCCTCATGTGGGACTTCTCTGTGTGCGAAAAGTACATATGGAAGTAGTACATCCCAATCTTCGCCATTCTCCATACACAACTTTTTCAACATTGATTTTAACGTTCCATTAAATCTTTCAACTTTGCCATTAGCCTGCGGGTGATAAGGCGTTGTAGTTATTCCCTTGATTTTGATTTTCTCATATAAATCTTTCAGGAGCGCACTTGTGAAATTTGATCCTTGGTCAGTGAGAATGGTTTTAGGAATTCCAACTCGACTAAATAATGTAATGAGTGTGTCGGATATTCGTTCAGCTTCAGAACTTGGTAAAGCAAATGCTTCTGGGTATCTCGTAGCTTCATCAATGACAGTCAGAATGTACTTGTTACCTTGAGTTGTCCTATTGAGTGGGCCAACGATGTCCATTGCGATCTTTGAAAACGGATCAGTTATGATAGGTGTGTTGACCATAGGAGCTCTTTCCGCACTTCTTTTTGCCACTTTTTGACAGGTGTCACATTCTGCGCAGTAGTCCGACACATCTTGGAACAATCCAGGCCAATAAAATGACGCAAGAATACGTTGTTTGGTCTTCTCAGTTCCTAAATGTTCAGCTATTGGCTGATCATGTGCCAGCTTCATCACTGCTTTTCTTAGCGATGCTGGAAGCACCACTTGTGTTCCCGACAGATTCTTTTTCTTGGAAGTCCATTTTCGTTTCAGTATGTCATTCTCCCAGTAAAACGCTTTATGTTCTGTCTCAGTTTGTGATACATTTTTGAATGCTTTATCCCTACAATTTTTGAGTGTTGGGTCTTGTTTCTGAAGATTCGATAGTTTATTTCCATTCACCACGCTCAACTTTTCCAGTGAAATTTCCGGTAAATCAAGGTTCACTTCACCAGCATCATCGTTAGTTACCACGACGTTTAAGTCCCTTGGTACGACATCACATTTATTCATGCGATTTTTGGCACTTAATTCATTTTGTTCTTGTTCTTTTGCTTTGGCTCTCGTAACCACAGCTGCAACTTTGTTCCTCTCCAGAACATCTATTCTCAATAAACCATCTGCAACCAGATCAGGTACTAAACCTACCTGAACATGTCCCTTAAACATTGGTGTTTCCAGGTTAACCACTGCTAACTTAGCCTCGAATGGCTGTCCAATAGCTGTAACCAAGGAAGTAGTTTGTCCATGTAGAACACATTTTGGATCAACAAGATCCTCCCGCAATAGCGTCATAGATGCTCCAGTGTCCTTGACCATTGACACTTCCATATCATCCACTTTTCCCGGAACATAATGTAAACCCCATAATGCTCCTTTCACGAAACACGACGCTAGATTACCTTTCTTTGGGCATTTGTTTGCATAATGTCCAAAGTTCCCACAGCTAAAACATTTCACTTTTTCCAAACCTTTCTGTTTTCCGGAGTTCCCCTGTTCCTGGCTCTTCTTCTCACCTAACACTTTAGGATTTTGAAGTTTTCTGTCCTCGGCCGATTTTGTTGGTAGAATGTAATCCTCAGCAGCTTCAACTAACTCACTACTTCCCTTATTCCGTCTAATCCACTGGGCTTGTTGAGGAGATAACGCCTTTAAGAAATATTCTTCTCGGAACTTTTGTACGGGATCTTTCTCATCAATGAAACGACTCAAATACAGATCTATTCTCGACATTAATCCTCTGTAAGTCTCTCCTGGTCTACGTTTAATTTCCTCCAGGAACTGAAAGTAGTCTGCTCGGCGCTTGCCGAATCGATTCAAAAGAGCCTTATACAGATCTCTGTATCCCGAAGTCACTTGCTGCGACACTTCTCGAGCTTCTCCGGTTAAAAGTGACCTAAGCTGTAAAGCCTTTGAGTTCTCAGTCCAACCTGCATGCTCAGCTACCGCATCAAATTCAGAGAGATAGCACAAAATGTCATCTTTTTCCTGATTAAATGGTTGAAGTTTAATTTTTTGGCATTCCTGTCGAATATGCTCCTGGTGTTGAATTGGCCTTCTCTAGCTGAACACGTAATTCCAAAATTTCTTTTTCATGTTCCAATTCAAGTGTTTTTAAACGTAATTCATGTTCCTGTTTTTGTTTAGAAAGTTGTAATTCCAATTCCAAGTCCTGTTTCCTAGGCATTTTAATTCCGCTTGTTAAATCCAAATATATGTATAAAATTTCAAACAATATTTCAACATTTAATTAGGATCCTTTACCGCTGCCACCACTTCAAATGTTACACCGAAACTTTCTGTTTTTAAATAAAAACGCCCAAAGTTTCCAACAAAGTTTATTTTGTATTCCCGTGTAACACTTTACACACAGGACCCGACTGAGTAACTAATTGAACACACAAAAATTCTACGCTAAATATTAAGAACTGCCCAACCTACAGACTGCCAATCACTGCTAAATTACCGTATATACTCGCCTATAAGTCGGTCCGCCTATAAGTCGGTTGTACTCAGGAGCTTATATTTCAGATGTACTGACCTCATATAATATCATTCTTTTTATAGCTCGCCTATAAGTCGGACACAGAATTTTGGATCAGATATTAACTCCCAAAAAACCGACTTATAGGCGAGTATATACGGTAACCCGTTAATTGTGAACACTATGAATTCTGCATTTTCTCATGGCCAGCACTTCGGACATTCAATCCCCCTGAGACTCGGGTGATAAAAGTCAACAATGCTGATACAAGAGCTAAATTTCCCAGCCAAATCTTAATGAGCGGTCAAGACCTTATCACATAAACAGATCACTGCAGTCTGTAGTTTAGAGCAATTACTACAAATCAACAAGATTAAGATAATATAAATCAAGCATTAATTATACAAATAATTTCACACAAAATTTTACTTTAACACATGTGTATTGTAAAAATATTTCTACCAAATTTGGATAGCATATGACGTCAAAGAAAAAATATAACAGATTTCCACGAACTTTTCGAACAACCCTCGTATACCAGAGGAAGTTTACATATAACTATGACCAATCATGACTTTGCTGTTCTTGAGAAGATTTTTTAAAGTGTTACACATTTTTGAATGCTGAATGCTGTGTGCATGACATCTTATCCCTGTCCTTCAACTCCTTTAACAATATATGAATGAATTATTGTATGTGCCCTAGATGTCATGAAAATGATTTCACGAAGTTATATTGTTTATGCGTTAACTTATATCGATTGTTTACTATATGTTTATGTTACATCCCGAATTTCCTCGATTAAACGAACCCGTTCACAATGGCCCATACTATAAACAAAGATTACCCTAAAAGTAGACTCACCTAAATGTTACCCTGGCATCTTTCTTTAATCCTATTACAGCATATGAAGTATGCAACACATTATTATTACCTAATCGCCACTTTTGTGCGATTGTTAACTTTGTGTACTGTGTCTAAAAAAAACGGCGCCAACCCGTACGGTACCTTACGTATGTGTTGCGCGTGACGCGGTTCGCACTTATCGACGAAAACCTATATAATAAAGGCCCAGAGTGAAAATCATCAGTAGTCTCAGCACTGCTCACGGGTATGGAGCCTGCAGCGCCCATCAGAATGGTAATGATCCCACTTTGATAAGTACATTTTGTGCTGAATATTATAAGTTGGGTGAATCTGATGCCATTTAATACCCAGTGTTTTGGGTCCCTTTATTCTCCCACATTAGGTGAAGTCTACCCATCTTGGGGGTAAAAATACTCATTTTCCCCAGTTTTTGCCACTTTTTGTTGGTTTTGGCCATATTTTAGTAAATTCCTGACTTTTTAGCTGTTTTAACTGCTTTTATTGATTTTTAATAAATTTATAGAAAATTACAATCTTTTCTTATTATTGGGTAAATTTCAGAAATAAGAGACCCACATTTAATTTCTGTAACGGGGTAAACCATAGAGTGGTAAAAGAATACAAAGTGTTCTAAAACCACCACTATACCCAGAAACGTTACAAAAGATTTTTCCTGTTCATTCCAATTTTAAACTTTGATGCCCCATTTTGGCCCCACTTTAACCTCGAGGGTCATGATTTACGATTATCCCGTGGACAATGCATATTTCATTATTTACCATACTTGTTTTTTCCTAGCTTTCCTCCTTTAAATGTTAATTAAAAAGTTAATTAAATAAAACCAGAATTAATGTCGCTAAATAGAGCTTTTATTGACAGAATTTTGACAATTTTTCAATATTTCAGGTTTCGGTTGGTTTAACGTCTTGTTCTGCTGTGATTATGTGTATCACTAAAGCACGATTGTACATTTTTAAAGAGGCCCTATGAAGTTTAACATCCTTTTTGCCGATATATGGCTGAAATATTGCCGATTCGGCGTAAAACATTAAAACATTAACTTCAGAAGTTTTATCATAGACAAATGTATCACAACAGCTTTTCAAAACGGGAAAATAGTACGAATCTATATATAACGTAATTTAAATACCCCGAGTTCCCCTGGCCTAGATCAAATTTCATCTTTGGAGCTAGAAAAGATTGAAGTATATACCAAAAACCGGACAGTACAAGTATACGATTGTAGTATCATCCCTGATTCTGAATCAGCAAATTCACCGGTAAGTGTGTCAAACTGTTCATAGACTATTGATTTAGTGCAACATTACTTGCAATTTCGGTGAATATTTCATGAATTTCGATGTTAATTAAGTATTTTAATACAACATTACTAAAAATTTTTTTACAAAATGCTATCGTGTTGATTTAGTGTAATGTATTAAACATCTGACAGCAAAGGTTTTAAGCATTTCTAGACAAGTTGATATTAAGATTTCAGTGCATTTTTTAGGGATTTTCTTATAATTGTTGTATATACGAAGGCCGTTCAAAAAAACGCGGACTAGTTGCACAGAAGAAATATTTGACGACATAATCGGGCAAAATTTCACAAATAATGTAAAAGAATCTTTACTTATATGGTCTTCAAAATTTCATATCAAAATGTTGTAAATTGGTATTAATTTTGAGTGATTTTTCAGGACATACCACTAAGTCACGGCGCAGCAAAATCTTCGAGGTCACAAGCATTATAAAAAATAGGTGATTGAGCTTTCATTTTCTCAACATTTTCCCTTGAGTACCTTTATAGTTTGAGTTATCTTATCTATTCAACATCAAAACACCATTTCTTGTCAAGCTTAAAATCTATTAAGGAGGTAAAGAATATTCCTTTTTTTTGTTTTAAAGCCAAAAACTTCTTATGAGATATAGTGTGATATTGGTGACTCTCATTCACGTTCTTTACAGTCCGGATAAAGTTAACTTTTCGTCTATAATCTTCTTCCCGTCCTCCGGTATAGCCTTTTTACAAAGGTCTAACTGTCTAAAATTGCAATTTCCTATTTGTGGGCGAATGTCACGAGTAACCTAGTTAACTACATGTTTTATTATGCATATTTTGGATATATGTTGCCGATATCTCGAGCATTTCACATATTTTAACAAAACTGTGGTGCGCCGTCAATTCAGAAGACGTCATTTTCACAGTCGTCTTCACGGGAATTGCATCAGAGAAAAATCACTATATTTCTGTTAGTACTTCAAATATTACGTCCAAAATCTAATTATATAATAATAGAACAATTTAAAGGTACATTTGAGAAAATTGTTGAAAATATCGCGAATTTTAGAAAATCAATGAGTTAAATTTTTGAATCCGCATGCTTTTGCTTCAATTTTTTTGTCGTGCGCCGTACTTCTCATTCAAAGATATCAACAAACCGATAATTTTAGTAGAATTTTTTTTAAATACAGAAATTTTGCCCAAAATTTATTGAAATCTTTAAAATACATATTTCTGTGAAATTTTATAACTATATGACGTCTGTAAGAGTAAATAATAGCACAGTCCGCGTAATTTTTGAACGGCCCTCGTACCTATGTTTTATATTCTGAAAGCAGGCATTGTGTAGTTTCTGAAAACAGTAATGAAAATATCATTTCGGTTGCCATGGCAAGGAAATACACCATAATCATGCTGGATATTCCATTCATTCAAGAATGGTTTTCGTCTGTGTTTGTGGTTTTGTTTTTTTTTGTTGTTGTTGCTGTTAATTTTATTATATTTAAAAATATTTTATTTTTGTGTTGAAAATTATCAGCATGTTTTACATTAAAAAAAAAATAAGTTTATGGGGGAATGAGGTTGGGTTGAGAGGTAAGTACCTACATTTAGCATTTTAATCGCATTTATCACCATATTTTGATAAATGCATTTAATACCAGTGCAAGGGCGATAATTCGTGCGTTCTAATTGTAGTAGTTAAACATTATCGAGACTATGGGTTTTAAATACATGACGTAATATTATCAAGCAGATTGTCATAATCTACCGAGAAAGCTAGAAGGGTAGACATGTTGCAAAATTGCACCCTCCCACCCTTCCCCAAAATTTGTGTACATGATTTTCTTGTTTTCTCTCTTGTAATTTCAGTGACAGAAGCATATTCCTAAATTGAAAGTGTTGTGCATGTGGAACACCCAAGCGGTGGGAATCAAAATAAAAGGAAGGATGTGGTTATTATGTATATGGTGGGACCATTTGGTGTTTATCGGACATTTTCTGTTGTAACAAATGATTCAATACTGAGTTTTACTGGACATTTCCAAGGTGTGATACATGATCAGTAAGTCAGTGTCATTGGTGATCATTATTGATTATGTGTTATGTACAGTGTTACTGTACAGTTTTATTTATTTATTTTTTTTAGTATCACAGGCAACATAGCTTATATACATATTATGTTGGGATTATGGTAACGTTCTTGAAGACACAGTCTGGGCTGGGGGCGGCGGAGTTCGGGGATTACCACGAATGATGATTTCTACCATGTCTGGCTCAAAACTCTGGGTAATCTATCCTCAGTCCTGGGGAAGATTTAGGGGTTACCTCAGGGTGCCTGAGGGACCGGCTTGATCCTTGTGCTACCAAGGGCAGGTTTTGGGGGTCTAAGGTACCCAGCTACCCCTGGGGGTGTTATCCCCATGCTGTTGTTGTATTCCAACAAAGACAGGTATAGAGTGAGGACCTGGGTCAGAACTTGAATTCATTCATTCCATGTGGCATTCACTCTTGTGGGTTCCAAGAGGTCTGTTCCCACCACAGTCACCTGTGGGTGCGCTATCGCGCCAGGTCAGTCGGCAGGTAGTGAGTACCTGCTTGCCATAAAATGTAATCATTGTTTTACTACAAATGTGATTAAAGTTATTATTTGTTTCTATTCATTGCATCTGGAATTAATACATGATGTGTACTGTTACCGCAGCATTGATTTCAATAATGGCAAAATCGCTTGAATAGTGAACAAATTTTAGCTTAAGCTAGCAAAACTATTCTTTCGGCGGTTCTTCTACAGGTATTTTTCCCTATGATCTTTATATTTAATTACGATTTTTTTTATTCAACGCAGATTGTGCGCTTTAGACATTAAATACAAATATTTAATTTATTGCGTTATTTTCGTGTAATAATAATGTAATAAAATGTAGTAGTGTAATAAGTTAGTATTTGTAGATCAATTTATTGGGTACAAAATTAATGTATATTTTTTTCCTTAAAAATAAATCTTTTGATAGAATTTCATAAATTTGTAATAGTACCCGTGAGAAACATCAAATATCTACGAAATTTTTGGGCAACTATTACATGTATGTTAAGATACTCGTAATTAAATGATGCATAGCCCAACCTTAATATCAGAATTTCGACATTCACACAAATAATCGGAAATCTTCCTTGAGTAAAAGTAATAATACAGTCTGCATTTCATAATAATCCATTCAATCATTTTCAAAAACTAAATAAATAACAAACTTTTGTAAATTTACCACAGTGATCTCAAGGTTTTTTTTTTAATTTAAATACTTTAAATATACTTTTTAATTTTGATGTAAAGGATTGCAAGAATTTAAATCAACATATCCGCATTTTGATACAATTCTATCGTGTTTTGCGTTTATCTTAACGTGAAAATCGTTTATCAGGTCTATCGTGTTTTGAGTTTATCGTGTTTTGCGTGTATTATGTTTTGCGTTTATCGTGTTTTGCGTTTTTTATGTGATGCGTATAAGTTTATATATTTACATTCAGTTTAATTTTCTTCAAGAAATCCAATAGAAATCCATGACGTTCAAATCTTTTTAACACACGCGAAACCTTGTCACCGCGCGTTAACGTTACGACGTCATTGCGTTATTTAACTTTACGACGTCACAAACGTCACAAACTGCCCTTACGTCTAAAAGCACACCAGGTTTGAAGGGCGCTAAATTCACATTAAAGATTACCGAAATGAACAATTATGAAGAGGAAAAATTAAGGAATGTAAATATAAGCATTGAATTCATACTTTGGGATGTCTTCGGTACTATAAGACACCTGGCCGTGCCGACAAATTATCATACCGCGCTAATGCGCGGTATTCAATTTGTCGGCACGGCCAGGTGTGTTATAGGACCAAAGACATCCCAAAATATGAATACAATGCTTAAATGATATTCACATAAATCTTTTTTCTTTTAACTTTTGTGTGAAGTTTTCTTTACATGATATTTATGCGATATGCTCTTCATGTAAAATTCATATACAATTTATGTAAAATTTACATGAAGATTTCACATAAATTTCACATGTGTTGTTTTGTTGTGTCTTTTTTATGTGAAGAATTCATATGAAATGTATATAAGCTACTTTTGCCTGTGCATATAAACACAATGAATTATTTTTAAACACAGTCAAAGATTTACATATAATAATTTATTGTTACAGTACCATGTACAGACTTATTGCTATGACATTAATTTACATTCCAAATTCAAATACTTAATTTTCCTTTTTAAATGTTGCATATCAGAGGAAGCATTGACATGTTCAGTACAGATGATCACTAGAAAACTCAGAAATATGATTTTTTACAATAACGTAAAAACGTAATAGGGGGTAACGTTATATAATCATAATATGAAGGATGTAAAGGATGAGGTACAAAACAAAAGTCATCACAAGTGTGGGCAGCTTCTCTGGCACTCAAAATACTTATATGATAAATAAAGTACTAGTACATGTATATCAATCTGTTGCGTTGTATCGAATGGACAAACTGAACAGGATTGGCCTGCATTCAAAGTGGCCAAGGAGCTCAGCTTCTTCAGAAGAGTGAAGTTTCCAGAAGGGTCATTAACTGAAACAGATCCTCAAATGGCAAATATTAAGTATTATTATATGATTGAATAATTTCCATCTCTCTGATTGGCTGAGATCCGACTATGTTAGAAAAATATTATGTTGTATTGACCTGCACGTGACGTTCCAGGTCAATACAAGGATTTATTTCCTCTACATTGATCTAAAAATAGCTTTGGAAATTCCAAATTGATACAAATTGTTTTAGAAAGTTATTCAAATGACTATGATTTTTATTTTCATGTGAACAAAACATAAGCGAATATATATTTTGGGTGAGGAGGTAAGAGGGGATACAGGGAACCCCCCCCCCCCAACACTTTTACAGAACAACAATTTTAATTTTATTTTTTGGCAGTCAGTTTTTCCTGATAAGACTCCTTCCTTTCAAAATCTATCCTATAAAAAAGACTGACATTATATGTTTCTTTCATGGCAACTAAAATTGATTTTAAAAAAACATTTCAAATTGATACGACTGGTAAGGTTTATTCACATTTTAATTCTGCTTCTCTCTTGTATTTGGCTAGGACTTAATAAAATGTAAACAAGTAATGAGCTGTATCATTTTATCCTTGAATCATATAATAAAACAATTATTGCTGATTTTTTCGGTCAATACAATGATTTAGCCATCTTCGAAGTACAATATTCACCTCGCCCTTCGGGCTCAGTGAATATTGTACTCCTCAGATGGCTAAATCATTGTATTGACCTCAAAAACCAGCAATAATTGTATAATATTGACTAAGTAATGCTTTTTCTTCACTTACATGAAACATTTGGAGATAACGAATAGTATTCAATATCAAAAGTCCATAAAACAATTCAAAATACGAGCAGAGCAAACACAGACCTTCAAAACATCAGAGATGAGATCAGGTGCCATGGAGGGGTGAAAATCCCCTGCCGACCGGTCGTCACAACCGCTGATTGCCCCTTGTCATGATCAGGAAATAACGGAATGATGACGGGCGCATTTGGCGGGTGATCTGCAGGAATCATTTGTACGAAACGTTTATGTATAAAATGTCCATGATTTGGTTGGCTGAACCTAGCTCGTAGGTTTTCACAAACACGTCCATGGTTTTTTTTTTCGCTTAGTTTGAAAGACATTGTGAAATTGTAACATTTATGTCCATTTTTTTTCTAGGGGGTACATAACATAATAATGTTTCACAAAAAATATAACCTAAAATATCTAATGCATAGATGCATGATACTTGTACATGTACATGCACATTATAGAATAGAAGATTAGAATTGATTTCGCTTGAGAACCAAACTGAACCAAATTTTTTCTAATTCAAAATTTTAATAAATCAGTACATAAAACGAAACTGAAAAAATAAATGGTTGTTTGCCTGAATGAAAACAAAAATTAACGCCCCATGCCAGGCTCGAACCAAAAACCTTTCGCTTCGAGTGCACTGAGCAGGTAGCTTACTTACTGAGCTATCACCGCTACACACGTACAAATGTTTTTAAAAGGACAAAGACGAATCACATTGACACATTTGGATTTTTTTGGGAAAAGTTCATTTTGCGTGGTCTCTGGGTCTTATCTCCATTTTTTAAAAAAGTGTATTAGTTTTTGTTTATTAAAATGCACACAAATAACGTTTCAAAATCATGGAGAGAAGACCCAGACATAGAAAAAAATTAGAAAAGCGAGAGTAAAAATGTACCATTTTTACCAAATGTCTGATATGGCCAATTTTCAAGTTATTTTTTAGCAAATCAAAGCTCAATTTCGGGAAAATATTTTACTGTTAAATTAAAAAAAATGTTAAAATTTCGTGTGACATGTCGATCAAATTTTCACTTCTCAATTACGCCCAGATTCCTGCCGAATGCCAATCAAAAGCGCCCTCGTTCATTCCGTCGTCAATTCTTCGTATAAATATTGGACTAACAATTCGTAAGAAAAACGTCAGTTATCTTTTGACTCATTGACATCTAAAAGTATTTGCTGCCAAGCTCATTTTATTGGCAGTAAACCTTACGAAATGATAATATAATGGGAGTTCTAATAAATTGTTGGAAGACCTGGACTCCAAGAACAGCATAGGTATTGCCAACCAGAAACAAGCATCTTTTTTGTGTCTACTTTAAAGTATTTGTGTGCACAATCAGAATATTTTCTAACAAAATAATTATGACCAATGACAATGTAAGTAAATTTACGAGTTTCATTTTTATTGAAAAGGTAGCTGCAAATGATATCAAATAGCGTGGACATTAATTTATCGTGGATAGTTGTGTATAAAGATAAAACTCGATAAAAAGTTTCTAAGCTGTTTTGGTAAAATTTTGAGATTTTAAATTGTCCAAAAGTTGCTTAGAATTTTTTTATTATCTACATCTGATATACACCACTTCTTGAATACATTGCAAAGTACTCTTAAAGTTTCACCTTCATTACTGTTAATATCTTAGTGAGGGAAAATTAAAGAAAGAAGTTTGGTTTAAAGTATTCACTTGACCCCGCTATGTATGTTTATTTTTAAGAATTTTTATGAAGTTTCGGAAACCAATATAGATATGGAAGAATTTATTTGGGATCTTCAAAATATTCAAACCTTATATACGATTTTAAAGAATGTCTTCCTTGAGAATAAGTTTGATTATAACTCGTAGAATTTAATCC